TATTTTTCTTGAGATTTAAATTTTAGGATTTATAAATTTTTATATACTTCCGTAAATTTTCGTAAGTTTTTATGGTGTGTAAGATTTACGTAAAAATTTTACGTTGGTTTATGTAAATCTTATGGTGCGTAAAAAACTCGTAAATTTACGTAAAATTTTTACATAAATTTATGATTTTCTTACGCACCGTAAGATTTACATAGTTTTACGCTAAATTTTATATAAGTTTACGATTTTCTTACGCACCGTAAAAACTTACAAAAGTTTATACATATATATTTTTGCTGATGTAACAGCACAAGCACACTGTAAAGATGAACCTACAAAACAAGCATTATATGAAAAACACAAAGAATTCCTAGAATCTCAATTAGAAAAGATAGGGGAAATGCATGATGATACAGAAATTCAAGGAAGAATTTATGGAGATGTCATCAAGGCAAGGAAAAAGGAAAAACTACAAGTGTTACTACCTGATCCGCAGGAAAGAAGTACCTACAAACCATATGAACAATATGATGTACCTAGAGATAAAGAAATGTTAGGGAAAATGAACAAATTGGAATAAGAATACCACATTTACCCACAGACAATGTATTCTTAAATGAAAGGCTATCACAAGCCTCTAGAAGGAATGAAGATATCCCTCAAGGGGTATTACCAAAAGTAACAAAATTCCTCGAAGATGTAGAACAAAGAATTAAAAATAAATTCATATCTAGGCCAACAACACCTTCACTATTAAGTAGAACACCTACTATTGAAATTGGTACTGATGCACCTGATCGAAAAAGAAATGAAAAAGGTTATACACTATCACCAGATCCTTATGAAAGAAAACAACAAAGATATAAAAGCCCAAGTCTTAGCTCAAAACATACAGACCAAAATTCTAATGAAGAAATAAAAATACCATATTATGATAATATACATAATGAAAGACAATCCTCAACTTACAAACCAGAACAAGGCACCTTCAGAGGACAAACATATACTATATATGTACCTGAAACAATATATCAAGAATTAAAAGATTTTAACGAAGAAGAGTTAGATGAATTAGAAGCAGAATTAGAAGCAGATTTAAAAGAATTTCATAATAAAAGATTTGGACAAGAAGTTGAGAATCAACTTAAAGAAAACAAAGAAGGATATGAAATAAATGATAATGAAGAATATAACCATATTTTATTAAATAACCTAACTATATGACAAAAAAGAAAAATAGTACCTACTATTATTAAAACTGAAAAAGAAAAGATATTTAGTAAAAAAGAAACAGTCATACCCCCTATGACACTAATGAGTATTAAAATATTAAACCCTCAAGAAAATGGAATAGTAGGGACCTCTATACAATTAGCAGCCAAAGGGTTAGCTATACAACAAGGACGACCCAATGGAGACTACATTTTAGCTAGTGTTCCTATGAACCGAACTGAAACCGAACTTTGGTCAAGTTCAGGTTCAGGTTCAGTTCAATCATGTTCAA